ATTATACAGCAAATTATTAAAAAATTACGCCATTGTGGCTAATAGTACCGTTCAGATATTTAAAATTATTTTTTTATTCAATATTCCATGGACATCCACTAAATATATCAAAGTCTAGGCGCGAACGCAAACCATGGTGGATATCCACTAGATGTAATTTTTGATTTTGCTTACTAAGTATAGATGGCGATATCACTTTCGCTCGTTGAATATCTACTCATGCTCAACCCACCGTAACTGAGTTCGATCGAAATTGATATCGCAGTCAGACTCCATTAGAGACTGGAGTCAAAAATTTCCATTTATTGCTGAAGAGTCCTAATAAGGGTGACTTTCTCCTTAGTGGGCAAAATCAAAGGCAGTGTTGAAAATATTTTCTTTCGACGTTATTCAATAATCATTGGTTACTTATGAACCTCTACTAAAGATACCCATAAAGGCCATAAAATATTTTGCTGAATATTAGAATATCTTATATATCCTGGGATATAGACGGACATTTGGATATCCATATTAGATCCACTGGATATTATGGATATCCACAAAATATATTCTGTGGATATCTCTGGGATTTCGGTATTGTCTGGGAGATACCCATTAGATATTCTGCTGGATATCCATAGGATATCTTCTATATTCTGGATGTAGACGGACATTTGAATATCCACATTAGATCCACGAGATATTTCTAATATCCTGTGAATATATTAGATATCCACAAAATATATTCTGTGGATATCTCTGAGATTTGGTGTGTCTAAGGAGGTGATGACCAACGAAAGTAACGAACAGCGCCAATTCGCCAGTTGCTTACTTTACTATGTTGATTTCACATAAAGTTTGTTTCAAACCTTGTAGAATGGGTGGCTTAAAGTATAGGTGTCCCCCCTTGAATAAACGAACATTAATATTAAATTTTACCACTCAGCTTTGTGCAATTTATCCAAGATAGCACATCCCTGTATATTTATAAAATAATGATTTTTATACTTTCTATTGAAATGACTTAATACAACCCTGTATATTGTTTTATATTGATTATTATAATTTCTATTGAAATTATTTAATATAACCCTGTATATTTCTTAATATTGATTTTTATAATTTCCATTGAAATACTCAAAATTCACCCATCGAAAGAGATGTCTATCCTAACTGTCTTTCGGGGTGTATGACCAGAAGGCCATGTGGTTTATTGGTTACATTGTTAATATTTTACAGAAAATGTAAAGCCCTCGTCTAAACGAAACCCCGGTGGTATCTTAAAGAAAGTTACATAAATCTTTTGACTCACCATAGAAAATACAGATATTAGATTATTTACTAATTCCATCTAGCATTGAGATGACGTCGATTTAGGTACGTCGCAGCGTTGAGCGTCTCCTTGCGTCAAACGGCAATATTAATATTTTTTTTGAAAACTTTGTTCAAATGCTTCAATATATTTCGGATAAATACAATAACATCGTTGTCTCCGGGAACTTTATTATTGATATTAAAAAAGAATCAAATATTCGGTGTCAGTGGTTTAATATTCTGCAGTTTATAAATATACAGGAATTTACTAGGCCAGCTTCAAATACTTGTAATGTTAGTAACCCGGGGATGTTAAACTTAAGTATTTCTGATCATTTAGGTCAAATTGTAGATCTTGATTATGAAATTACTGAAAATACAAACATCAATAAATTTAGATCTGGAAACATTCTCTGAATGGTCTAAGACTCGCTCTTGACGAAACAAATTGGGATTTTTTAAAAAATCCTGACTTCGAGGTACATCATTCAAGTAAAATATTTTTAAAAACCTTTTGCTCCTTGGTAGACAAATTTTTATCTTTTAAATAACTTGTTTTAAAAATAGTCGTAATTTCATAAATTTTTATAACGATGACTTACGAAAAAAAAAAGCAATACTCTAACGGCGATAAAAACAATATATGATTACACTAAGAATGAATCTGATCGAATTGCATACAACTGTTACAAAAAATACTATTATAGGTCAATTGAAGATGCCAAAAGATCAGCCTACGAATCTTTTTTAAAAAATTCATCAAATAAGTCGAAAGATAGTTGGAAATTTATTAATTTTGAACAAAATGCCACCAATAATAAAAGTTTCTTATGTGACATTACCCCAGAAGTGTTCAATAATTATTTTCCAATATTGCAGTATTAATTATATTCCTTAGCCGACACCGAACATCAGGTCACAGACATTTTGGACAAAAGTCTTAAACCCCGTGATTCGTTCTTTATTGAACCAACTGTATCTTTTGAAGTTGAAGAAGCCATCAAAACACTGAAAAGCTCTTCATGTTATGATATCTACGGTTTAAATTCCCAAATTATCAAAGAAACGTACGGTTCCTTTTGTCAACAGTTGACAAATTTTTTTAATAAATCGATTTGTGATGGTCAGTTCACGGACAGCTTCAAAGTAAGTAAAGTAATACCAATTTACAAAAACAACGATGTAAATCAACCAGGAAATTACCGTCTTATCTCGATAATTCCAATATTTGGAAAGATTTTTGAAATTTATTTAAAAAAACGCCTGAACATGTTTCTTGACAAAATCCACACAAGTCAAAATGGCTTTAGAAAGGGCTGTAGTACTGTTAATGCTATAGGAAGCATCGTGGAAGGGACAGTACATGGTTTTGAGAAGGGTAAATCAACCCTGATAACAATGTGCGATCTCTCGAAAGCATTTGATTGTGTTTCCCACGATCTGCTAACATCCAAACTTGATTTTTATGGAATAACAAGAAAACCACTCAATCTTTTTAAGTCGAATCTTTCAAACAGGAAACAAGCTGTCAATTTAAATGGCCAGTTATCAAATTCTTTTACTGTTTAGCACGGAGTTCCGCAAGGATCCGTGTTAGGTCCACTTACGTGAATGACACATTTTACAGTCTTCAACCTAATGCCTGCTTCCTCTTTGCAGACGATACTACACTTTTCAATTCTCACAAAGATATAGACACTCTTGAAAATTTCAGTAAAATGGCAGTCGCTAAGGCTGAGGAATGGTTTACAACAAGCAAATTAAATCTGAATAAGGAAAAAAACAAATCTTTAATATTTAGTACTAACCCTGGAACATGGTAATGCAAATTGTGCCACTCTTCTGGAAATAACACTCGACAGCGGTCTAAAGTGGAACACCCACATTGAAAAGTTAGCAAAATACTAAATTCTCAAATATTTTTACTTAGAAATTTAAAAAAGTGTAAACGTTGGCACTGTTTTGATGGATTACTATTCCCTATTTCACAGTTATCTTACTTGTGGTATAATACTATGGGGAAACGCATCAATTCTATACGAATATTTCGGCTTCAAAAAAGACTTATATGAATCCTAACTGGTAGCCATTTTAGAGACTCTTGTCGACCTTTATTTCAGACTCTAAATATCTTACCATTGCCCTGTAAATATACATTATGCACACTGTCTTGGAAATCCACAAACTAAAAGATACTATACTCTTAAATCTGATTGCCACAACTATCCCACCAGGGGTGGTGATTTAATTAGAACGACACGTTATCGATTGGAGGTATTGAAACAGAACTCATTAGATGTATAATAAAATTCCAGTAAACTTAAAAAATTAAATTCTTTTAGCTTTTAAACGTAATGTTAAAAAGTTATTAACATTTGCACTGTTTTTACGATATCAGTGAATGTTTGAATAGTCAAACGATTTAAAACGAGCCTGATTAATGGTTATATATTTATTAAAATTTTCTTAAATAAAAAACGAATACAAAAACATCAACAGCTTATGATTTAAATTGAATGTACGCTTATTATGCAAACCAATTACTCTGTTTCCTTTATTCCTGTCCATATTCCGGCTGTCATAAAATCAACTCTACTAAAAAGGTCTTTGCAGTGAAATCTCGATAAAGCCGTTTGTCGTGTTTCATAAACAAAAACGCGAATTCGTGACCAAGCAATAAAAGATTATGATAATCATGTAACTCGAATAACAAACTAGGAGTGTACGGTGTACAACAAACTCAAATTGAATGGAGGTAAAATGTCAGTGCGTTTTGTATATTTTTATTTTTTTAGAAACAAAAAAGCAATTTCTTTTTTTGCTCCTGAAGCACGTTTGGAAAGGGTAAATATTTGATGGAGGGATATACATTTTGAAAATGGCGAGGTCACCGTTAGAATATAAATGTGACCTAATAAAATGTTGCCAGAATGTTTCCTTGCATAATATTTTTGTTTCGGAAGAAATCAATATGTACTCGTAAATACGAGGAACGCCTTTTAAATTTATGCAAATTACTACCGGAAATGGCGCTATTGAGATATGATATTACAATTTTATAAATATTTGATGTTTGTTATTTGTAAAATAATAACACCTCGGAAATAGGCCGAAATACAGATACAGGGTGTCCCTATAGAGTGTGGAAGTTCGATATTATAGAAAATATCAAACAATGTTATTTATAAAAGTTGTAGATAATATTAATCTGCACATTTCAAAATTATTTTCGATTGTACAGAGTGATCCATAACTTGATCAAATCAATGTTTTTTTGAATTCCCCTGACTTTACCCTTCAAGAAAATACCAACATGTATGACGTTATACTGGGTATTTTGAAAATTTAAACCAATTTTATATGAAAATCGTACTAGTGTAATAATTGGCATTATTATTATTTAAAAAATATAAAGAATTTACCAAAAATTCTAAATAAGTATTTTAATGTTTTAAATTAAAAATTAAAAAGGAAGACACATATGAAAATAAAATAAACAATTAGGTCATTAAAATAGTTTAAAAAATACAACCATCACGTAAATTTTGGTTCTTATAGAGAGGAGACAAAAAGAAAGGGCTCTCGAGTAAACTCTCTTAGTCGAAGCTCTCGTTTTTTTACAAATAAAAACGTTTAATCAAAAACAAAGAACAACAAATAATAAAAACTTTACTTGGACTACGATGATAATACCTACAGCTTACCTTCTTTGGGTTTTTGAAGTGGTTCTGTTCTTTCTGAGCTAGATTCTGCTCATTCTGAGTAGTTTCTTTGACATTCTGATACCGAGTATTTACGAATTCTTCTTCTTTCTTTGCAGGGATGGCGACTACTCCGTCTGGTAACTTATTATTATCTTTTGGCATGGTTTCGGGGGTTAATGTGGGTCTATATATCGGTTTGGCAACTCCCAAGCTGGCTTGGGAGAGTTTGGGGCCAACCTTATTCGAGGAGGTACTACTTGAGAAGGGAATTTTGAACGGCTCTTGGTTTGGTTCCGGTAAAACAGGGAGGTCTTGTTTATCATTGCTTTGATTATTATCCTTGTTTAATGGATTCTGATTCTGGGATTCTTTTGGTTCCAGGAGAGTGTCTTCAGGGCCACATTTTGCCCATAATTTACAAATCGTACACAGAACTTTACCCTACACGTCACATTGTTTTGGGACTTAAAGAGTTCCCAAAAAAAAACGAGAGCTTTCGCCCCTTGGGTGAAAGTTCTGGACCTTAGTCCGAACTCGACCGAGATAGTTTACTCGAGAGCCCTTTCTTTTTGTCTCCTCTCTATATAAACCAAAATTTAAGTGATGGTTATATTTTTTAAAAATGTATGCTCAATGTAGCCATTAACTAGATTAATGACCTTTTTAAATTTTTAATTTAAAACATTAAAATATTTATTTAGAATTTTTGGTAAATTCTTTATATTTTTCAGATAATAATAATAATGCCAATTATTACACTAGGTTCAACCCTCTGTATATTTCAAAAGAAACAATCGAACATCAAAATTTTTTGATGAATCATTTTTAATGATAGTCTACTTTTATAAGAATATACTTATTTTTTCCTAGCGCAAGAGACGTGTACAGGGTGAGTCTAAAACTCAGATACATGATTTTCTCAATTTTTTTAAATGTAACACCCTGTATTTCATATCACTATTAAAAAGTACTCTAATTATACGTTTGTTTGAGTTAAATATTTCCTATCCCTAAACCAATATAAAAATGAAAAATATACGTACGTAAATTCCTTGCTAAGTTGAAAAAGAAATGGTGCTTACCTGGAAAGAAAACAAACAATTAATGAATTGTGTAAAATACCTAATTAAAAGACAAAACATGAGTAAGCTTATTTAAACAACTGAATGTACAGAGTGTTTTTTCTTATAAAAGAAACAAAACTATTGTAAAAAATAAAAAAGAATCTTCTTAAACTAAATAACCTAAAACTAATTGTAATTTTAGTCTTAGTGGAAGATAATTCAAAACGTATAATTTTCTGTAGAAGAGGTAAAAGGATTTGAATTTTTCTTTAAATAATCCTTTTACAAAAAAAAAATCCTACGGATTCTGATAAAAATTACATGATAGTTACTACGCTGTTGGAGAATCAACTCATCAAACTTTTTGTATCATGGATAAATTAATAAAAAATACAGTATGACTCCAGATCGTGATAAATTTAAACCATTTGATGCATTGACGAAGAAGATAGGGTGTTGAAAATTTTCACAAATTCGTAGTCTTGGTCTAGGAACTCTAAGGAACATACCACATATTCCTTAGACCAAAATAAGTCGATTTAAGTAAAATTACCTTAGTACAAAGTTGCTTCGTTTGGACTCCAGAGGGCCTTGAAGTTACAATTTTTAAATCGTTTTTCCCATATAAATTTAAAACAGCATATGCGATTTTGCTGAAATTTGGTATATTGGTAGAGTTTTATGTGGCAAAAAAATTGGTATTAAAATTTTGTCCGATAATAATACATAGGCGTAGAACTTGATTTTTTAAATAATTGCACCTTTAAAAATTCTACGCCAATGGAAGAAAAGGAGTTTGAGTATGAAATTTAGATTGCGCAACTCATTTACTTTAAAAAGGGTACTCTTGATAAGACTCGATTACTCTCATGGTTTTGACGAAATTTGCATTTTAGTAATTTTAGAACATAAACAATAATTATTAAAATACAAACTTTGTCAAAACCATGAGAGTAAATCGAGTGTTATCAAGGGTACTTTTTGTAGTAAATGAGTACCCAATTCAAATTTCATACTCAAACCCCTTTTTTGCCATTGGCGTAGAATTTTTAAAGGTGCAATTATTTAAAAACTCAAGTTCTACCCTATGTATTATTATCGGACAAAATTTTATACGATGAAAAACATAATAATGTACTTTTTTCATATCTTCTTCAACACCTCTAATCGAGACTTTTAACAAAAATACTCGATTCTTACCATGTACGATTTTTTGAGGAATATTAATTATTTGCCTGCAATAAGTATACAAAAACATTTATTGTTGGTTTCCATAGTTTCATCTAAATAAAATAAAAATATTGTTTTAACACCTAATCTCTTGTTAACGATTGAAAGTGTTCTATCTGACTCAATAATTAAAGAAACAAATGCGTGGTTTATTAATATGGCTGTACAATATACCGATGCAGAATATACCGATATGTTACTGACATTAAGATTTTAAGGAGGAAATGCTCGAGAGAGTGTCAGGGTGTACTCTGAAAGGTTTCCAAATCGTCGTGTACCTAGCCACCCAATTTTTGCTGCTGTTGAGAGACGTCTTCGGGAGACCGGTTTCGTTGCTCCCAACACTGTTGATAATGGAAGAGAACGTTTTGTAAGGATTCCTGAAGTTGAAGAAGACATTTTAGAACGTGTTGAAGAAGATCCAGAATTAAGCACCAGACGAATTGGAAGGGAACTAGGAGTAAGTAAAGATGTCGTTCATAAAGTGCTTAGAGAATAATTGCTATATCCATACCAAAAGAAGCCAGTACAATTATTAGTCCATGATCCTCAAATTTGTTTGGGTTTTTGTCGATTTGTTAATATGCAATAATAAAGAGATCCAAACTTTGTCAAGAAGGTTCTCTTTACCGATGAAGCGGGTTTTACAAGAAGAGGTATAACTAATACCCATAATGAACATGTGTATGCCGTTGAAAATCCGCATGCAATAAAGGTAAACCATTTTCAGCACGAATTCAAAATTAATGTGTGGGCTGGAATAACTGGTAACTTCATTGTTGGTCCTGTCATACTTCCACAAATATTAACTGGAGAAAATTATTTGGATTTTCTACAAAATACGTTGCCAGAATTGTTAGAAGATTTACCTCTCCAACTTCGGAGAGATATGTGGTTTATGCAAGATGGAGCTCCACCACATTTTTCTTTAAACGTTAGAAACCACTTGAATGAACAATATCCACACAAATGGATAGGCAGAGGTAATGACGCACCTGTAAACTGGCTACCACGTTCCCCAGATCTAACACCGATGGATTACTTTTTATGGGGACATCTGAAATCCACAGTTTACAGGGAACCTGTAGAAAATGAGAAACAACTCTGGTAACGTATTCAAGATGCAATTGTAATGTTAATGTTATTTATTTAATGAAACCAAAGTCGAATCGAATATATAAATATATATCATCATTTATTTTTAACTTGAATATGGGTTACATTACAAAGAATTACTGCATTCGTTCTTTCATTGAACCTTGCAGTCTATATTGGAAAAACTATCTAATTAAACAAATTACCTCATATTGCTTAGGTGTCAATACCGGTAACCTACTTAACTGCATAGTTCTTCGTTAACAATAATTAGTTACAATATTATGATTTATATTTACAAATATTAAAATTATACTTAAGCCTATTTTAAACTTAATAACTAAGGCCGGCATTACACAATAAACAATCTTAGAGGTGATGAAGAAGTTATGAAAAGGATACATTTTAATTTTCTTCGACGTATAAATCTTTGTATGCGTGAAAATGGTGAACATTTTGAACAATTTTTGTAAAATCTCTATTTTGATTATGTTGTAAAAAAATATTTTTGTGAATCCTATACAATCTAAATTATTAAAACAGAAATTTAGCGAAAACCATGAGAGTAATCGAGTCTTATCAAGAGTACCTTTTTTAAAGTAAATGAGTTGCGCACTCTAAATTTCATACTCAAACTCCTTTTCTTCCATTGGCGTAGAATTTTTAAAGGTGCAATTATTTAAAAAATCAAGTTCTACGCCTATGTGTTATTATCGGACAAAATTTTAATATCATTTTTTTTGCCACATAAAACTCTACTAATATACCAAATTTCAGCAAAATCGCAGATGCCGTTTTAAATTTATATGGGAAAAACGATTTAAAAATTGTAACTTCAAGGCCCTCTGGAGCCCAAACGAAGCAACTTTGTACTAAGGTAATTTTACTTAAATCGACTTATTTTGGTCTAAGGAATATGTGGTATGTTTTTGTAAAGACCTTTTACAGACACCCTGTATATTATCATTAATTATCAATAAAAGATTATATAGCAAGAGCAATTGATGTGATGCCCTGCGATATTTTAGTTACGTTAAACTAAATCTTAATAGCAAATAGTTAGTACTCTATAAAAAAAGTATAAAACCATAACATTTGTAATCAGATCAACTTTTATCTTTTCAGTTATTGTTGAAGAAAATTAGTATAGTGTCGCGAGAAGCCGGTCTTGATCTTTTTGGCGTTATATTTGTCGCTTTGTCCATTTTTCAATACCGCAGTGTAACCTGCCAAAAGTTCTAAGCAACTTCCAGAAGGGAATTGCCTAATATTAAACTTTAAAAATATAAAAAAATAATGTTATCAATAAAATCCTGTCTACTTCAGTTACACAAGCCGACTAGGTCTATATAGTGGCCAAACTATGTTCCTATTTCCCCACAAATCCAGTAAATGAGGAAAGAAATAAAAGACAACCCTCAACTTATGTTCCTTTATAAAAAAATTACTAATTTTCCCAATTAAATTATACAATCTTAAAAATTATTTTCCTAATGGCTTTTGATTAATTTAACAAACAAACATAACTAAATATGGCAAGAAATCAAGCAAAGTATATGTCATATGCTTGAACCCAAAAAGAAAACAAATTCACCAATAGGTGGCACGATTGGTCGTTAGCTTGGTACCAGGCGAAGGACGCTTGCGCAAGATGGACAGCAGGACAAAGACAAACGTACTCCACGCTACCAGAAATGCTGGAGTTTCTATACGATTGTGAATGACGACGGACTACGGGCTTCGTACAAAATATCATTTCTCTATTCGATAAAA